AAGTGAGAGCTTTATGCTGAAAGTCTGCCTCGCTGTGCTGCAGATTCCCCATATTTAGTGCATGGAATTCACACCAGATAAGGAGGGTGGTACCTTGTAGCTGCATAATCAATGCATTGGTTTCATTTTGATTCAGTGGAGATGGTTTTTTTCGGTCATTTTGGCAACTATGAAAGAATATAGATAGAACATCGATTTTTATTTCTTTTGAGTCCCACAAAGCCAAATTCTCCTGATTTCCTGTTCTTCCTCCTCCCCATTTGCTCCTTCTTAAAGGAGCCTAAAGAAGAGGGGCTCTTCTGTTAGGACAGATGATTTCCCAAGGCAGTGTTGTGACCTTAAAACATGACCTCTTTAAGGTAATAGTACTGGCTGTTTTTCATCAGAGAGACACTGACTCTGTCTGTAAAACAAACACAACACAGCTGCTGCCTCCCTTGTACAGCAAAATGTTCTGCCTTGTTTCAGGGAAATACTACAGAGCAGATCTGAACTTCCCCTCCTCCCTGCCGAGGCGGAAAGACAGCATGAAGCAGTTTGAAAATGATCCTCCTTTATCTTGCTGCGGTATTTTCCAGTCAAGGCTTATAGGTAAGCTGGATATTATCCCCCTGCAAATGTAAGGGTTTGGGAAGCAGGCTGTCATCATCTGCCAAAGCTCATGCTGGCTTTGCAGCAGAAAAATTTCCTACTAGCACTCACTGTGGCCACAATTCTCTGTGGGCAACCACTGCAAGATCGTCTTAAACAGTAAAATAGAGAACACAGCTGGTTACTTGTCTTTGACACCCCCTCTGCCAGTTCCTGGCAGAGAAAGTCAAAAGGAAGAAGCCAGAACACTACCTGTGTCCTGTCTGCAAGGGACAAATGTCTTCTGCAGTTGTTCCTGAGTGGACAGTGAGGAGTGAAGGGGCTGGCCAGAGAAAACAGCTCCATGGTCAGCAGAGTGTGATCACCTCATTGCTGGAGGATGGGTATGGGTTAGGCTGACTCAATTCACTCACCAGATGAAGTTGTTTGTGCTCCCTGAGTAAGATCCATGACTGTGGATCAGCACTGGCTGGTCTGCTGCAAATGCTTGTCTCTGATAGTTCAGATATATGGAAACAGCCAAATAACTGCTGTTTGCAGATTTGGGGTGAATCTTCTGCAATTATCTTTCCAACACTCATTTTAGAATTGATGTTTCCACCAGAATGAGCTTTCTAATGAGCTCAGTTAGCAGATAGTGCAAAAATAAAGAATAGAAAGAAACTGTCAGTGTATTCCATGTTGATGAAACTGCTAAGCTCTGAGCTGGTTTTTTTGCAGAAAGTGTTTTGTAGTAATTTCTCTTTGCTGTTGCCATCCAGGGGAAGCTCTGCTGGACCAGGAGGTGACAGTCAGCCACGTGTACTCATCCCCTGCCCTGTGCTGTGTGCAGACAGCTCAGCACGTACTGCAGGGTAAGGCAGCAAAACCTGCCAGGTGCCTCTGCCACACTGGAAACAGCTTCACCAACCTCTGACATGAGCAACTAGGAAGATGTACAACTTTGTGGTTGTTTGTGGTTTTCTTTAGTCAGGGAAGGCAAGGTGGTTTTGACTGCTGGTACTGTAGGCAGCAGCAAACCTGCTGTTGTGTGTACATTCTGTGGGATATGAGCACATAAACACTAGCCCTTGATAGTTAAAATAGAACCTAGTGTTATATGAAACAGAGGTGTTTCATATCTGCTTGAATTCAACATTAGTAGCTCTTCATCAAATCACCACTGCCAACTCTACCAGAAAATATTTTGACCCAAATATCAGATGTTTCCAGAGCTCTGAAGGATCTGAATGTGAATCAGGGAAGACTGCTTCCATGCTTCCTTTTGCAAGCCAAACTATTTTAATCCTTCATGTTGCAGAACATCTTTCCCTTCCTTTCCTCTCCCTCTCTTCTTTTTTCATCTCCTGTCCCTTTCAGCAAGTTCACAGTTCAGTACCGTGTTTACATCAGAATGCATTCACTGCCACTCAGTAGCCTCTCTTGAGAATACTCAAAAATAATATTTCTTTTGACATTTTCCATTTCTAATACTGGACAATTTGGACAACTTACTGCCCCACTGAGGAACACTGAGCAAAATGCTATATAAAAATGCTGAAAACATTACCTGTCTGATGTTAATTCAGATTCCAACATTGCAAAACTGAGTTTTTTCCTTCTAGCAGAGCATCACAAGAGAGCTTCAAATATTATGATTATGATAATGATGATAATAACTTGTAGTCCCTTTATGTTAGCTTAACAAGAATATAATGGTGGCTTCCTTTAATCAATTGGTTAATAATAAGTAATTCGTTTTCATTAATGAAAGTACAACAGCAAACAAGGCAGAATGTATAGCCTGAATGTAGCATTTTGAGTGTACCTTTCTCTTAAGATCTATTTCTTGTTTTTGCAGGGCTTAAATTAAATCCAAAAGTCAGAATCAGGGTGGAACCAGGACTGTTTGAATGGACCAAGTGGGAAGCAAGCAAAGCAATCCCCAGCTTCATGACTATGGCAGAACTGGTGGAGGCATCTTACAACATAGATACAAGTTACAGGTGTGTCTGTGTCTGGCTGATAAAGCTGTGGGGTTTTTCTCTGTCCTTTTATGTGCCATGAATCATTACAAACACTGCAAAGGTGGGGTGGTTCTCATCAAATTCAGATCAAAATAGGATATAATAATAAGATATGCTGTCACCAGCATAGGTGCATTGGCACAAACATCTTGTGCATGGGACCAGCCCTCCTCTGGTGTTGCCTTGGCATTAGGGGCATTAATGTCAGGTGCCAGGAGCTTTGCTTTTACCTTTGGTTCATGTGGGAAACACTTTAGAAATGTGAAGAATAACCTGATTTTCCGTGACAAAGAAATGTGACGTGATATAAGGTCAGTCAGCCCTTGGCTGAGGGTCTGCAGGGCAGCAGCAGGAGGTTTTGGGGACAGGCAAGATAAGAGCATTTCACTTTAATTAATGTTTCTGGCACCATTTTAAGTTGCTCAAAAATTAATACTGTGCTCAGCAAGGACTTTTTGGAGCCCTCAGAACTTGGTGGGGTGAGGGTTGATGCCTTTTCTGAGCACTTGCAAACCACAGCCTGGCAGGAAATGATAAACCTCCAATTCAGTCTAGCTCCTCATCTTATTCTCAAACCAGGCTGCTCAGTGTTTGCAGTGCACAGCCAGATCCAGAAAATTACTCAGCTGTTTCTGGGATTTCCCACCTATTCAAAAAAGGAGGAAAGGAAACATCTCATATCTTAATACGTTCCTTACAGCAATGATGTAACTTTCTTTGAGACCACAAAAAGTTTCCAAAATCCTTCTTTTTTTGGGAGCACAGGTCTCTCTGTTCTCCCTAACAGACTGTATTCTCTAGGGGTTTTTTGGTTCAAAACCATTTGCCTCAAAAGAAACTGTGCAAATGCACAGTAGTAGGAAGCTCAGAGAGGAATCTTTAAGGCAATGCTAACTGCAGTGTTTAGGCCCCTCACAGCTCACTCAGGTCCTGGCAAAAACAGGCTGGATGAACTATAAATTTGCACATAGAATGCCAGTTTCTTCCCATCACATGCAGGGTTAAAAGAAATCCTTGGGTTCCAGGTATTATGAGTAAGTGTTTGAGATCACTTGAAGAATCACCAGCAAAGTGTATCAGTAAAAAGCAGATATAATATTAAGCATCAGCACAACAAAATCCACTGACAAGGTTCTCTCTATTACTGAGCTGGTTGGACAGCAGGGTCTGTTTTTACCAAGTGCAACCACTGCAAATGTTGTCCATCACCCAAGCCCCACCAGACCTCCGAGGTGTTCTCTGAGGATTCATAGCAGAGTGAAGCTCTGGCTCTTAGGGTTTTTTGTGTGCCTTTAAAGCCCTGGTATATAAAACAAAGAAGAATGCCTGGTCTCAGCAGAAGTGTTCAGATACTTTGGAGTGTTACTTTTGTAATTATGGTCCCTGGAAACACCTTTTTTTTTTAAAACTCTAGCAGTGAAACTCTTTACTACCCATCTGACCAGCAATGCAGATAAACCTCATTGATTGTAGATTTTTATTTACTTGGTTTATTGAGGAGATTAATGCTGTGGTACCAAATCTCACAAGCATTGCAAATCTTGCAAGCATCATTAATGTCTCTCCTTTGTTTGGACTCAGTCAGCATTGGAAGACCCAGGCAGCTCTGCAGCTCATGTCTGGGCTGTGGTCCTTGCTGGCAGAATTGCTCAAAGCTTTTCTTAGGCATAAATCCTACTTTAAATAATCTCCACTGTAAACTATAAGTTTTATTGAATCCTGCTTTTCCCTGCATCTGGTGTTTTATGAGCTATGAGATTTAGCCATGAGATTTAATGGAAATTACTCCCAGAGAAGCTAATGCTTCAGACAAGCAGTGTGTCAGCCAAGTCAGCAGATAAACCTTCTAACCAAGTGCCTTTTCTCTGGTGTAGTCATTCAATGCTTCTAAGAATGTATTCATCTAGATTTACATATATTTGTGATTTTATTGTCAGGGGTAACTTCCCACTCTCTTCTCTGGTGCCATCAGAAAGTTATGAAGACTATGTCAGCAGAAGCTCTGCGGTTATAAAACAGATCATCAGTGCCTGCCCCAGCAAAGGTAGAGCTTTCAGGTCTTTGAATATTCTGTCAGACACTTGCAGTAACAGGAACTGGCAGAGATTTACCAACAGACGCACATTTAATGTGAGCTGTTGGCACTGCACAGAGCTTAAGGTAGACTCAGTGCTTGTCCTACACTGAAATAACATACATGCAATTTATGGGATAGAAATGAAAAAAGTAAAATAAAACTAAGCCAGTAGAGTACTAAATTGCTAGAGTATATGATTTTCTTTGTCTTTCTACATTGGGATGTAGCTCAGCAAAAGATAATACACTTTCCTGGAAATCTTGTTTCTGTTTCCCTCAGTGTCTTGGTTTGAAAGACAGGTGTCTGCTAAGAAAGGCAGAAGACTCTTTTTTTTGAAATGGAGAATGTAAACCCCCACCCTCCAAATTATTATAATTTTGAAATTAAGGGGCTCTCAGACAAAGATATGGGAATAGGAATAACAGTTATTTACTAGGAAAATTAGAATAGAAATACAGTATTACAAAGAGCAAACCCAAAACACTGACAGAGTCAGAATACAACCTGACACCCTGTCAGTCAGGGTGTTGGTAACAGTCCCATTCAATGGTGGCTGCAGTCCTCCTGCAGTGACAGATGCTTCAGTTGAAGCAGTGCCCCTGCAGAAGGATGCAGATTTCCTCCAAAAGTCCAGTGATAATGTGAAAAGATCCAAATTTCCTGTGGGATCCAGTGGACAAAGGCTGCTCTGATGTTCCAAATCTCCGTTTTCATCTAGATAGGAAATGCTTGGCTCCTCCCCGTGGCTGGAGCATCTCCCAGTGGGATGATGTCATTTTATCAGTCATGCACTGGGACTCAATGGCCCATTGACAGGAGATAGTTCCCTGGAGGAAGGATGGGATGTGGAAAAGATCAAGAACACTGCCTCACCTGGTCCTTAACAGATGGCCCATAAGCAGAGAATACCTCCCACAGAGATAGGGATCACTGCCCCACCTGGTTGCAACAGATGCTGATAGAATACAGACTTTTGGGCACATCCTGCTTTGCAACCTAAGACACTCACAAATGCCTTCTTCTCAGTAACTGGCATGCTCAACACACCAGATATTTTCTGCCCATCACAACATGCTCTGCCACATTATCAAAAAGGTCTGCAAAGATGAACAGCCCCAAAGCCACCTCATCCCCATCTGCTGCTGGGGAACGTGGCAGTGCTGCAGCTCCCTTACCAACACTTTGCTTTTCCTGGTGTGTCAGGTGTCATCCTCATCGTGGGCCACGGCTCCTCCTTGGCACCTCTCACCCGAGCACTCACAGGGCTCCCCGACAGAGACAGCAGAGACTTTGCCCAGATGGTGCAGAAGGTGAGAGGATTTTATTTCATCAGGAAGCCTTTGGGTGGTTTCATTGTATTTCTAATAGGGAGACTGCTTATGCAGCAAGATGTGTGTAACAGCATGCCAACACCAATGGCATCAGCTCTCTCATTCCAAAGGGGATCTCGCACAGTTTTAGCAAAGCACTGGAGGTAAAGAGAAGGATTTTATTCTGGGGGCTTTGTGTGTAAATAGCAGTTAAGTCTTTGGAGATTGTCATCTGAAAAGTCAATGCCATGTAACACCTACAGACAAGAGGCACATTTGGAAACCTCCCCAATTGGAGCCAGTCTCCTTCCTTGCAAAGTGGAAAAAGAAGGCTTTGGGGTGACCTAATTGCAGCCTTCCAGTACCTGAAGGCAGCCTGCAAGAAAGATGGAGAGAAGAAGAGCCTGGAATTACTGGACAAGGAGCAATGGCTTCAAACTGACAGAGAGCAGATTTAGATTGGATACTAGGGAGAAATTATTTACTGTGGGGGAGGGTGAGGCATGGGATCGGGTTGCCCAGGTATGAATGTGGAGTGGTGACACCAGTTCAGCTTTCACCCCTCAGGCTTCCAGCCTGGTTTTATTTCATCTCGGAAGTGACAGAATATCAGGGGCTGCTCTTTTCTGTAACAAAGTCTCCTATTCCTATCAAAGCAATGACCCTGCTGATAACTTCCTTCCCAGATCCCTTCCCTGGGCATGTGTTTCTGTGAAGAACAGAAAGAGGACAACAAATGGCAGATGGTCAACCCACCAGTGAAAACATTAACTCACGGAGCAAATGCAGCATTTAACTGGAGAAATACTATCATGGAAGATTAGAAGGTCATCTCTGCCTTTGCAGTTGTCAAAAAGGAACCAAAGGCAGGTTATGGCTCATCACAGTACAGTGACTCATCCAGAAGACACACAGAGGGTGGGAAATGCCCTCTCTCAGTTGTCAAAGCACAGAAAAACACTTCTGAGTTTGGTGTCTGGATTTTGTTTTTATTTTGATGACTGAGAAGAATGAACTTATGAAGTGGCGTTCAAGTGAGAAATAACACTTCTGGTGGTGGTGAGGAAAGTACCTTTTAACCTTTCCTGAAAATACAAACGTTTAATAAATATGGATGTAACTATCTGATTATAAATTCCACTCCAAGAGGCACTGAAGTAAACAATGTTGTATTTTTAAGACCGAACTACATCCAGCAAGAATTCTCCCTTTTTTTTTTTTCTTCTTCAGTCGCTTGGATATTTTCAGACAACAGAAAAACTAGAACTGAAAAAAGTCAGCTCCTACCCAAAGAGGCAAAGAGGGGACCAGCTCTAGCTAAAGCCACTGTGTTTCCTGTTCACTCCATCAGTTCTGTGAGAGCAAATACCATACTGACTCTTTATTTACCTCTTCTATGGAGGGAGTCCATTTTCTATCACATCAGCTCCTCATCCGGCAATTCTCAAGTGATGCATATTGCAAAAGGGTCTAAATTATTCATTTTTGAAGGGAAATGAACCGATTGCTTTACTGTTTCTGGGACAAAGAAAGATGCCCTGTGTTACTGTACTGGTGACAAAACTGTGACATGAGCAACCTTAACTCTGAACCCTTCCTGAAGTGGCACTTGCAGCACAACAGATTTGCTTTGTGCTGGTTAGTGTTGAATTTATTAATGGTGACCCTCCTTCCAATTGGGTCACCTGGAAAGTTTCTGCAGCTCTTCTCCAGATGATGTGTTTAATTAAGGGAATGTAGCCCTGAAATTTTATGCACAATCAGGAACATGCCTTTCCCCTGTCTGTTTTTCTCCTGCTTTTTCTTTCTGGTAATCAGATAACTGCCTCCAGGAAAGTACAGTGTTTCTTTCAATGAAAGGAAAAAATGAAAATGTTTCTCTCAGAGCATGACTAAAAGTGTTTTCATTTTCACTCCTCACTACCTGTTCCTGTGTGACACCTCCCTGCATGCCATTTAGCCATCGGGGCATGCAGAGGAGCCCATCCAACACTGGCTCTGGGGCTGAGAAGTATCTGACAGGCACCTTTATCTGCGGGTGTAGAGATTTTGTTATCTCAGCTCTGCAGCTGCAATGATTCATTCTGACTTTCCAGCTCTGGTGGAGTTGCTTGAGCTCTCAGTTTTCTGACAGTGCTGCAATTTTACAGTGAAAGTCAAATGTCCCAGGGCCAAGACAGGAGCTCTTTAACAAGCAAGGGGACAGGACTCGAGCTCAGGAGATGGGTGGCTACAACTGCAGTTCCAGAAAAAGATAAAAACACCAAATGTCACCACAACCTTTTCGTAATCAGGGGAAGCAGGATGCCACTGCAGTGCTGAGAGGACTGTGGCTTGGCTACTTCTCCACATCTTAGCCCAGCACACACTTGCTGTCAGCTAAGAGAGGCAGGTGTGGTGAGGGATGAGTTTGCTCTGAGCTCTGAAGGTGGTGGCCTGGCTGCTCTGTGGTCATCAGGGAGGGCAGTGACTCACAGGTCTGGCTGAGAAAAGGTTGTATGATGCAAGAAAATCAGCAAAGCCACTTAAAAGACTTGTAATCTTTACTGTATTAGTGTGTAATGGGTTAAGTGCACCACCCAATTACTGGCTTGTCGTCATTTTCTTCTGCCTTCAGTCAGAGTCAGGATTAAAACATGAAGGAGATGGATTTCTCATTTGGACTTGGTTGTTTATTAAACCTTATCTAAATTACAGAGAGTTCTGCAACACTTCCAGCTACCAGCTGAAAGTGAGCAAAATGGAGGTGAATCCAGCTGGTTACAAGGTCTTTTAAAGCCAAACACTCCAATGAAGAACTAACACCTATATTATTTATACTTTTGACCCAATAACCAAACTCCTGTGACCCGCAGTGCAGCACTGACTGTCCAACCAAAAACTACTGCCTGAAACCATGAAGAAAGAAGAAGAAGACAGAAAGAGACAATGCCCAAGAACATCCATCTTGTCCCATACCTATTACTATATTCTAAAAACCCCAACTTTCAAACCCTTCACCATGTGAAATCACACACTTCCATTCTAACTACGCACCAATGATTTTAACTCCATCACTCAAATTTGGAAGCCTTCTCCAAGGCCTCAAGTCAAAAGCAGTGTTCTCCTGGGGGTCAGTGTCAGAAAGCACAGAAAGTTCAAAACTCCCAGGCTTAATATTAGTGATATTAAATTTAATTACAAATTTTCTTCTACATTTCTAGAGATAACATGGGTTTTTTCCATAATGCTCTTACACACTAAGCCTAGATTGGGCTGCAAACACCAGTTTGGTTTAAGAATCTGTGTCTTCCTTTAAAATACCAAGTGAGATCTCTACCTTCACCCAATGACATCAGATGTATTGTCAGGGTGGGTCTGTTGTGAAAAATAGCCTGTAAGAATAGCATCATTTCCTTTCTTTAACATGCTGCTATGTTGCTGCCATTGTTTATAACATAACAATGAGATACTTTTTGCTTTTCAGTCATTCTGGTCTGCAGAAGCAATGTTGATGAAAGCCACTAAATGGCACTGTAATCCTGTTAGTGTCCATCCTTAACTGTGTGCAGCTCCCTAGAGGCAGGTGACAGGAGAGGAGAAGGACATGGCTGGGGAAGTGCCTGTCTGTCTGTCTGTCTCTTACAGAGGATGGATTTTACTGCTGCACCCAATCTTAGCATCTAATCAGAGGCCCACAGTGCATGGACAACACTATTGGGGCAAGCTAAATATATTTAACAGGCAGATTCCTAAAACAGTCAGACCAAGATCCCACTGTGCTTTTATTTTTAATACAGATGCACAACAATGAATTTCACTTCAGTGAAAGCAATTAATTAAACTTCAGAGCATGTTGAATAGAGGGTTTAGGAGCTTAAGTTTTCTTCTGTGGTGGTTTCTAATCCAGACACCACAGTGCAAAGCAGGTGAGGACAAATGCTCAGTCACAAAATACTGTATTAAAGTTACAAAGACTTCTTCATGTTTGCTGTTTGAGTCAATTGAACAGAAAGAACATGAATAGAAGGAACAGGCAGCACACTCAGGAACCCATTGAAACTATCTCAGTCTTAATAATGGAAGGGCAAGGACAAGCTCTTCTATTCACAAGGACCCTACTTTTGGCTCTCATGGGACCCCATGAGCACAGAGTCTTTTTAAAATCAGAGCTGAAATGATATCTTTAACATACAAAGTTTCTTGGTTCTACAATCTGGTGCTTGGGGGAGAGAGAGAATTCCTCATGTGGCATGTACACAGCATGAGACTAATCACTAAACACAGGTGAAATGAAGAAAATGTCCTTGGAATTTTCCAAGATATTTTTGTGGTAAGCAAAAGGAATAGGAAACTATTTTCCAGTTTCTTGTTTTGGTTTTTTGTTTGTTTTTGTTGGTTTTGTTTGTTTGTTGGTTGATTTGGGGTTTTTTATGCAACTGCTAAAATTAGTTGTTGCTTTACTCCACTGCAGTTTTCTTTCACTGGATCCATTTCATTACAAAGTTATGTAGTTCAATAGATGCTTTTAGTACTGCCTTGAGAATCTGGATGTTTTCTTTGTATCTTAAAATGTGAGAACATAAATTCTTTTGATGAAGACCTGCAGTGAAGCTAATCTATAGTGACCCCTTGTGGGAAAACAACCTCACATTTATATGGCTAAATAAGCTCTGGTGTGATTGAGGGATGAGGAGGAAAAGCAGCAATTTTTTTAACAATAATGCTTCTTCTGTACCCTTTAAAAGGATATTAACATCAAAAATTGTATTGTTTGGGACTACTTTCAGTCAGAAGAGCTTGGAAAGACACTTGAGACAAATTCTTCTGAAATGTGAAATAAAACATGTCATGAATATTCTGATCCTGATTTTTCCAAAGCTTTTTCCTTGTGCCTGCATTATGTACAAGGAATATGCACAGTTCTGCTGAATCAGAAAAGCAGATATTTCTATTCTTTGCACCATTTTAAATTACAAGTGAGGAATAAAACAGTTGAGTGGATTTTTTTACTGCTCCAACAAAAGCTCTGGAGGTCTCCAAAAGGAGCAAGTCCTGTTCTCAGGAGGAGCCAGTAACACATTAGAGATTTCCAGATGTTCTCAGCTTTCCTTGATTGTATTCCAGGCAGGAGGCTTTTTATTTTTTTCAGGAATACCACTGGAGGTCACTCATGTACTAACAAACAGTGCTTCAGGGGAAAAAAGTAATTTAAACTATCCAAGAATGAACTCAGCTTGACTTGAAGACGACGTTAAAATGGAAGCAAGCTTGGAATTATGTTGTGCAGATATTCCTCAAGTTTACAGTAGACTATAATAAAAGTAGCAAGAAATCTAAATTTTCTTATAAAAAAACTAACCCCCCCCACAACATTAGCAGACCAAGTTAGCTTTGATAATGGAAATGCAGTACAACTCTTCATCAAAAAAAGCAAAAATAGGAAAAGAGAATTCATTTAAAAATGCTCACTGGGGTGACAACAGTGTCACAAGAAATTGCAAACAAAATGTAAGATAGGAGAGGAAAGATTGCATAGGAATTTTCTCACTATGATATTTCTGATAGCAGAAAAAATTGCAAGGAAGAAGTAATAAACTCTATTTATTTCATATGATTGGTTTCCCTATCTCCAATTTCTCTTAATCCATTTTTATCACTAACTTCCAAATTTTCAGCTATATTTTTGCTGGACTTCCGAATTGTAGAGAAATGGAAATTGTTAAAATGTTTTTCCTCTTTCTGCTAAACTAAAAATTTAATATTGATTTCTTGCTCTGAGGTGAAGAATTGGGAAATATAAGTCCTGTTTCAGCAATATCAGTACAATATCTCCTCCCAAATGGGCCCTACTTGGTTGTTTTACTTCAAAAGCAAACTGCTACTGCCTGGCAACTCTCTACATCAGGCTCCAGGCCTATTAATATTCATACCAAAATTCCCACAGTATGAGAGCCAATTAAAATCAGACAGATATATGTAATAATTAAGATATTGCTTACAAATTATCAAGGAAAAAATTTCAGGGCAGCTTTATTCACCTGCAGAAAGAGAGAAAACAATCTGTCAGTGGCATTTAGTGCTTGTACAACACTGCACAGCTCTGCCTTGCTCTGTACTTTTAATTTACCATTTTTGTCTTTCCATTTGATTCTGGAAGCTTCTAGGAGGGTTCTGCAGCTGCTGTGTCCCTCCAGCCACTTCCTGATCGACAGGTTTTTGATGTCAAACTATCTGCATGTTAAGCAATGATCTGCCTGCTGATAGGGACTGCTGGGCTGGGCTTTGTGTGCTCCCTAAGGATGCTTCTTCCACTGGGAGATGGGAGCAGAGCAAGCAGAGCTTTTGGCAATTTGTGGGTGCTGAGGAATGGCAGAAACTCTCCTCCAAGCAGTGGCAACTGTGCAACACCAAGGCTGATGAACCACTGGGCTGATCTCCAGCACCTGGAGAAATCTCCCTTGGCCCCACGCTGCTGACAGCCCAGACAGGGTTTGGGCAGGGGGATGTTGTGTCCAAGCCTCTCCCAGGGCTGTGGGCAATGGGCTCCTTCTCTGGGGGAGGTGTGTGGTGGTCCAGGTGCCGTGTCCAAGGAATTGCAGGAAGAGGGGTGCAGACTGCTCCCTTTTAAGGAGGGGAAATGGGATATCCGCTGGAACTCCATAGATGTGAGAGCCTGAACCTGAGGTGGAGGGATGTCAGGGGCTGTGCTGGGTGGAGCAGTGGAGGAAGACACCTTGGAGGGAAGTTGCTGAAGTTCATGATTTCTGACAGCAGCAGCAATGTTCCTTGTCCTGCTCAGACCTAAGTGCAGTGTGTCAGTGTGCAGGGCTGTGTGTGAGCGTGCAGGACACTGCTGGGAGCTTTGGAGGGACTGGAGGTGCAGGAATGTCCAGAGCTGCTGGTG